TGTGAATCCCCTAGACTAAAAGCTTAAGTTATCAGAGAGTCAATACATTTATTTAGTTATTTCTAATCTGCAAGACAACCCCTCATGTGCGAGCTTGGGCCACACATATAGAAGGTTTTGTTGATGGGTGAAGGTTAGACTCAAACCTAGGACTTCTGCATACTTTGAGCCATTTGAATTGTATGAGCTGCCTTCATCTAAAAGTTAAAATCATTGGTAGGGAGCATTTTCATTTATTTGCTTTTGGTCTGTTAACAAAACTGACTGAATGAGTGTGGGTGGATCTTCAAAATGCTGCAGTTTTTTAATGAAGTTGGCATTATTGATTCATTTAGTCAAAATTTTGCTTTTTTTGCAGCGCATTGGAACATTTAGCCGTGGTTTTTGTTGACCAAGATAGTTGGGATAAAGAAACTTCTCTTACACTAAGTAATATGTTGAAAGAGCTCAAACCAAATGGCTCAACTACTACTTTGGGGAAGCCTCCAAAAATCTGTCTCTTATGTATGAGCTTTATGGAGAAAGATGATCTTAAATCAGCTGGAATTGTGGACCACGTGTTAACAAAACCTGTGCGGTTGAGTGGGTTGATAACATGCTTTCAAGAAGCCATTGGCTACCAAAATAAGAAGCGAGTGACTCAACCTTCAACTCTTGGAAGTCTGCTGACAGGAAAGCATATATTGGTGGTAGACGATAATAATGTAAACAGGAGAGTGGCAGAAGGTGCTCTAAAGAAGTATGGGGCGATAGTGACCTGTGTAGACAGTGGAAAGGCTGCTTTGACACATCTTAAGCCACCACACAATTTTGATGCTTGTTTTATGGACCTCCAAATGCCTGAAATGGATGGGTCAGTAACTTAAATCTGTCTCTAATTTTTCCTTTTGCCAACACCACCTTCCCACACTTAAAAAAGAGGGGCAGGAATAATGTGCGGGTCTGTAGATATTTGATCACTTAGATGAGCATATCTCTGATAGTCTCTATCTCCATATGCAGGTTTGAAGCGACACGACAAATACGCGATCTAGAAAACAAATACAATGAAAAGGTCGATTCTGGTGAGTTACTTCCCGGCATGTCTGCCAGAGTGGCTCATTGGCACACGCCAATATTAGCAATGACAGCAGATGTAATTCAAGCAACAAATGAAGAGTGCATGAAGTGCGGTATGGATGATTATGTATCAAAACCGTTTGAAAAAGGGCAGCTTTATTCAACAGTGGCACGCTTCTTTGGGTCAGGTTGATTAGGACATCACATTAACTGTGCAGCAGCATCTTTTGAGGTCCAGTCTTATGGTTTAGTTAACTTGTTTCCGGGATAAAAGGACTAAGCTATTTGGATATCTAACGGATTCCTCCATTGGTAGTGGAGGACGGAGCTTTGGCCAGTCAGATGTGTGACAGCTGACTCCCACTCTTGCTGCTGGATGATTTAGCAGCTCATCCTAAACACCTCCATCTTCCTTTTGTGGTAATCTACCTGCCTCCTTATCAGATAGACGGACTGACTTTCCTTTTCTTCAATCCACATGAACTGATATCCATTCATTTGCAGGAATGCTGGCTAACAACCACTAGATACAGAAAATTAATCATGTAGACTCCCGGATTGCAACCCAATCACTGACGAAGACTATTCCATCATGTGGCAACTCTCACGAGGATGCAATAAGAGAGGAAAACTTATTCATATGCATATTACACCTTTTCTATGTGAAGTTCCTGACAATTGAAGCCAGTTTGCTAACTCCCTTGAAGCAGGGTTGTGCCAAAACACTCGTGTTTCTTCGTAGGTCCAGAGATGTATCCTGTGTTTCAGGTGCTCTAATAGAAAAAGAAGCATGTAAATAGCATAGAAGTTTAGGGAAGCAGGTTCAGGTATGCAAACAGTTTTTTTCTTTAATTTCACCTGAGTAGTGGTTGAGTTTAGGAAGTAAATTCTGGCTGTTATGAGATCAGATTAGATTAGGCTAGACCTACACTGAACGTTTTTCTTCTTTTGTAAGTGTTTCTGTAGTGAATCAAAAAGTATATTTAAAGCTGTAGATTGTGTAATATTCTGTATATAAAGATGCTGAAAATAGGTTGAGTTTGGTGTTGCAAGTGAAATAGTTTGAACTGTTGAATACTAAAATGTAACATATCCTTTGGAGTGAATATCAATTCTTGCATTGTTAGACACACTCTGACTCTACAGATTTTCTTTTGTTCATCTGTACTGTATGTGGTAGGCGCATGTCATGAGTTGGCTCAAGTGCAACAAATCTCGATATAAAGAAAAAGAAGACAATGAAAAGAATATAGCAAATAACAGGGAACACTGCAAAAGCAGCCAAAACAACAATAAAATCACGTGATAATCGAAATACCATAAACAACATACTAAGGTAGACTATTAAAAAAATATAATAAGAACTACAATAATACAACTAGTACTATCACAAACATCAGTCATCCTAAGTAAGACAACACAACACTACCTACCCTAATACGTGTCCTCCTCACCCTTCTATTTAGGATCATGTTCACGGTAACCTGAAGCTAGATCATGTTATGTCATATTACCTCTCCCCAATACTTTTTTTGCTTATCCTTGCCTCTCCTCGTACCTACTATAACCAACCTCTTGCACCTTCTCATTGGTGCGTCTATGCATCTCCTCTTCATATCTCCAAATCATTTTAGTCTCGCTTCCTTCAACTTGTCCACCACGAAGGTCACACCCACCTTATTCCGAATATTCTCATATCCAACCTTATCGTTCCTAGTATGACCACACATCCAGTTCAACATCTTCATCTCAACAACATACATCTTTCAAAAATTCTTGACTATCCAACACTCGATCCCATACAACAAAATTAGTCACCCTTCTATAAAACTTATCTTTGAATTTCGAAGATACTTTTTTATCACAAAACTCCATAGAGAAGCCTCAACAAGTATATTATATTATGCATAAGTCATCACAATATGCATGAAAGAGTAATATGGATACCAAACACATAAATAATTCAGTATAATAAGTTTCTTTTTAACCGATCCATTACTTCTAAGTACACGATTAATAAGGAGTGATGAGTATCAGACAATCAATTAAGTGTTCCATTACGATAAAGCTATTTTTATTTTTATTTTGAATATTTTTTATCCCAGTAATTAATAAATTTTAATTTTAATCCTCATAATATAAGTACATAAAATTTTTAATTAATTAAATTATATAAATTTTAATTCTTTTATTTGCAATATTCATAAATTTTACATAATCATTCATCGTTTTAACACTTAATTACCCAATGCATTAAATTTGTACTAGTACTTCATCTTTGATGATAATATAATTGTAAGTAGTAAAATATGGTATGTTTTTCGATATGAGCAATCAAAAACACATATTTTATTAATTGGAAAAGGGTCAAAATTGCGCCTGAACTATATGAAATAGACCATTTATATCCTTCGTTATATTTTGGGATAAAAAATGCCCCTGATGTTATCCTAAGAGACCACAAATACTCTCAAGAGTTAACACCCCAAATTTTTGTTGACGTGGCAAGCCACGTGGGACTAATCCTTCCACCTAAGCGTTGCCAACTAGGATTCACTACAAAAGAACTAGACATTTAGCGGCAACAACAGTCGCCACAAAAGCTTAGAAAATTGTCACTAAAAGTTTTTAACATTAAATTCTAATTTTGTGTTTTTTTCTTCATTGTTTTTAAAAAACCAAATATGATATCGATTAAGTAGGAGTTTGAAGACACTATATGTTTTATTTTTATGTCATATGTAAATGTATAAAATGTACAATGATGCATTATATATATATAGTAGGAGATTTGAATTGAGAAGTAATTTTGATTATTTTTCGTAATAATATTGGATGTTTTTAATATGGATATTGCAAGTTATTTATTTTAGAAAATTAGGTCGCAATCGAAAATTAATTATCATATTTTTTTGTTGAAAAAATAGGTTTTACTAGCGAATGGTTGTTGGAGCCTTAGTCGCCACTAAAAATCACTCATAACCTTTAGTGGCAATATTTTGGGATTTTGTGGCGACTTTGTCGCCACTAAAAGTCAAGTTCTTTTGTAGTGAATCTTAGTTGGCAATGCTTAGGTGGAGGGATTAGTCCTATGTGGCTTGCCACGTCACTAAAAAATTGGGGTGTTAACTCTTGAGGGTATTTGTGGTCTCATGGGATAACTGCGGGGGTATTTTTGATCCCAAAATGTAATGGAGGGTACAAGTAGTCTATTTCACATAGTTCAGGGGCAATTTTGTCCCTTTTCCGTTTATTAATTAGTACTCTTTCCTCACTTTTACTTGTCACCTTTTATATATCGAGAGTCAAATTATATAAACTTTTACCAGCATTTTGAGATATGGTATTTCTTAATCACATTAGTATGCGATGGATGGTAACTTATAACATTTTTCGTATAATTTTTGAAAATTAAAATATATATATTTTTAAAATATTAAATTAATCTAATTCAATTTAAATTTAAAGATTAATCAAATTAACTCTAACAAAATGAAATATAACACCGACCAATCTTCCTCAAAAAAGTTTTTTCAAAATTATGATATTTGGGAAAGCTAAATATGCTTAGTCATATAACATATGGACTAAAAATGAAAATATATTATCAATAAGGATTGTGATGGAGTGATAAATACTCTTCATCCTTAACGAGAGATTTCAAATTTGACTCCTTGAGATATGGAATCACTTTTGTTAGGGCACCCTCAATATGGGATTTTCTGATGCAATTTTGAATTTAATCAAACTCAAATATGAATAGTTTTTGTTATTTTTGGGTATAAATTCAAATTTAGTTATATTCTAATGTGAGTATCTAAACAAAAAAAAATTAAAAAATTATCCCATCTCTTTCTTTTCCATCCATTTGCGTGTAAATTCCACTTCCTCCAATTCACTCATTTAGCGATCCCTAGAAAACTCCATTTCTGGGTTTTTGAAGCTGAAGAACAATGTCGGATTATCTTCCAAAAGATGTTCTTGTAGAAATTCTATCAAAATTACCATTGAAAACCCTAGTTCAATGCACCACCATATGCAAATCATGGTATTCCATAATCATAAACCCTAATTTCATTTCTCTCCATCACAACACCCACATCAGCACCGCCGGTCGCCGTCCTTTACTCTTCGTCCGGCACTACAACATGTTTGACAGGGTTGAACGTTACGCGTTACACTTCGACGATGAAGAGTTAGGAGATTCATCAGATGCCGATTCATTCGAGGAGTATCTTGAGCTGAAATGCCCTGAAACAAGTCGTAGTGAGTATTTGAGGATTGTTGGTTGTTGTAATGGTCTTATTTGCTTATCTGATGATTATGATAAGTTTACGGATACTGTGGTGTTATGGAACCCTATAATTCGTAAACATGTGGGTTTGCCGAATCCTAATTTGGGGTATAATGGACGTGGGTCTTGTATTTATGGGTTTGGGTTTGATGGTGTGAAGCATGATTATAAAGTTGTTAGGGTTGTTTATAATAGTACTGCTACTGAGGATTATAAATTGCAGATTCCACCGACGATTGAGTTTCTTGATAAATTGAGGGCTGTTAAATTCTTGGTTCCACCTGGGGTTGAGGTTTACTCTTTGAGTAGTGGGGTTTGGAGGACTATTTCTGATGCCTGCCCTTCCTATATTTTGCATCAAAATCACTCTGTTTCGACTTTTCTTAATGGGGCTGTTCATTGGATTGCATCTCATTCAAGTGACGATGATGATGGTAATGGGAATAGCAACAATGATTGTAATTGTAGTGGTAGCAGCAGCAGCAGCAGCAACAGTAATAGTAAAGATTGTAGTTTTATTGTAGCGTTTGATGTGGCGACTGAAAAATTTAGTGAAATAAGCTTGCCAGAGAGTGTTGCTGAGAGAAATGTAATGAAATTGGATGTGATGATTACGGGTACGTCACTTGCCCTAATTGAGTATGAAAAGTTTTGGCAGAGTGACTATTGCTGGATATGGGTGATGAAAGAGTATGGTGTGGTGAAGTCTTGGAGTAGGCTGCATAATATTGATTTGAGAGGAGGATTCAGGAATGTTGTGGGATTTAGGACTCACGGTGAGTTGTTGATTTCTGCCAGAATGGTAGGAATGGTTTCATACAACCCCAAGAGGAGAAACATAAGCTATCTTGGAATCCATGGCACCAATCGCTCATTCCATGGTGAGCCTTTTTTCGAGAGCCTGGCTTTAGTTGGGAAAGAAGATAGATTTGCGCAGCAAGCAAATTCAACTACTAATGTTGTTCAAGAAGTTGGATCTGAACTGGATAATGGTGACGATGGAACTGTACTGGACAATGGTGGAGATAGAACTGTACTGGATAATGGTGGATATGGAACTGTACTGGATAATGGTGGAGATGGAACTGTACCAGATAATGGTGAAGATGGAACTGAGGAACATACATGATAGTTAGTCCAGGTAAACAATGTTCATATGATATCAAAGAGTAAAATGACCTTAATGATGTTTAGTGGTTAAAATGACCTTATCTCCTTCAGCATTTTTTTCCATGGTTATTTGTGACAAAATTTGCATCTAATGTTTAGTGGGAATTTAACTTCTTGCTCTTTGCTGATAATGACTGCCTTTTAAGGTGTCCTTGTTAATTTGGTTAGAATTAGATTTCATTGACTAGTTATCAGCCTCTTTTGATAGAATAATGAACTTCAGCTTCGGTTACAAAATGTCTGAAGCTTACATGTGATGAAAAGGGTATACTGCTAATCTGTCGGTGTCTGGATTACGGGTGCGTCAATGAGAATTGAGTAATCTATTTGCAAGATACATTTCCGTAAATATTTCATGCAGTGAATAAAAGAAAATTTATTCGTTAGATATCTTTTGGTTGGGGTTGAATGTTGATGAATAGTCATAACAGTTTTGGAGGTGCTTTGTTCTCCTTGGTCTGTGTCCCCAGCCCAACCTGCCTCATCTTCTATTTTGTGAATTGCTTTGCCGGTTACCATTCAGGATGTAGATATTTTGTCTGATTTAGGCACAACCTTTTTCAGGAATACTAGATTCACTACAGTCGAAGGAAGATTTTATCGGAGTGGTTTTACTGGTTCACACCTTGGATTGTCAAGCATCCTTGTTATGTGATTCTGGTTTCTGATGTCGCCACCTGATCCAGTGTTCCTATTTTCTTTGTATGACTTGTAACTGTATTTTTATACTTGGCTCTGTATATATCTCACTGAGTGTGTTGTTGTTGCTCTGTATATATCTAGGAAATTTAAGGGTTTCAAATACTTTTTTTTTGTAATGATGAGTCCTGACAGAGTGTGTTGTTTTCCATACGAAACGAAAGAAATAGATTACTTGTGCGTAATTTGATGAACAGTCAGCCGTGAAGTTTGCAAATTTGTGGACTCCGAGTCTGGTACCAGCAGTATTACTTATTTGTAAATTGTTCCTGCATGAAATAGAATTAGGTCAAGAGTATTACTTACCATATTTACCAATTATAATTAAAGTAGAATTAGTCCATATTTGAATCCTACTTCCATTGCCAATCCGTGTAGGATTATGTTATTCACTCTCATAATTTTCCCAATTAAAGAAGAATTAGTTGCCATATTTAAATCCTACTTCTATTAGGAAAAGACAAGAATCAATTTTGTTAATAAATACTCACCATTCAACGCTCTCAAAGTAATATCAGACATAGCATTCCACAACACAAGTAAAAGATTTCCCTGTAGCAGCTCAATCAATTTCTCTCTTCTTTTACTAATAATAATGGAAATGGCTGGCCGAGCAACATCTTTTATTCGTACCCTGCAATTACACCCACGTGTTTTCGGCCAATTCCAACGAGTGATGAAGGATTATTCAACTGACAAGTTGAATGTTACCGATCTTGTTTTCGAATTGGATACTCTTTTCCAATTCCACCCTAATTTTCTAACTGGCTATAGAATTTTCTTGCCGCCACACTTACGACCAACATTACCTTCCCCTACGCAGTCACCAAAGAAGAACCTGACAGTGTTGAAGCCTTATATTGTATTTATGAATAAAGTGCAGAAACGCTTTGCTGATGAACGGGGAGTTATCCTCGAATATTTGGACACCATTAGGAAATTGACACAAGGTAAACTATGTAATAAAGAGGCTTATAATGCAATTATGATAATCTTTGGTAAAGAAAATCAAGATTTGATAGATGAGTTTGAGTTTCTTCTTTTGGGTAGAAACGGAATTAGAAAAGAGAAGAAGAAGAATACGATGGAAGATAAGATGAATTCAATGGAAGATGAGATGTTTGAACTTGACATGAACTTGTCCCGTCGGAAAACAGCTGAGGATTCTGCAAAAGAGTTGATGTACTCACTACAACAACATGAGGATCAACTAATCAATATCGACTTTTATTTCAGTGCTGTGAGTCTGGGCTACATAAGGAAAATATACAAAGAAGAAGGTTCCTCTATTATAACAAGATTGCGGGATGATCCAACGACTGTTTTGCCCAAAATTTTGAAAAAGTTGGAGTCGGAAGAAAAGGTCCTGATCAAAAAGTGGCGCGATATTCATCAGAAGAAAAAAAAATCCATATAAATAAAGGAGTATAGTATAGTATAGTATAGGAGTGTACTTAATGAATTGCAGATAGTTTCATTAATTATAGTAGTAATTCTGTATGAAGTTCTTTACCTCTCATTTACAAAGTTGCTGATTTGATATTATTAATATACCTATTTGTCTTAAAAGCACTTCTAAAAGCTCCATCATAGTATCAAAGCATTAGATAATTTTGATTTTTCATGTACTCTAACATACATGTGGAGAAACAGCTAATAATTTTAAAACGCCCTGTATCTGGTAGTCGCAATCATCAATGCAAGTGTATATTAAGTATAACGCCTAAGAAATGGATTCACATCCAATGGCAGAAGTTAACTGTTAACCTATCAATACGCTATTAAAGATGAAATCAGAACTTGTCAAGCTGTTGGAGATAATTTTATGATAGTTCTGAGTCATTAATTAATAGGGGTACGAGGAGATGAATTTTTTCAAGAAAACCATCAATACATGATATATGTTATCCCGAATCATTTACACACAACACACGAATATTGAAAGTTGGGAACGAAGGGAAAAGACAGCTCTAATTCACAGCTGCACAGTGCTTCCTAATCTCACCAGCAGAGCCGGTCTTGACTTCAATCTTTCCCATTTTCTCCATTGCTACACCAAATTCAGCATAGAATTGTTTGAGTGATCCTTTTACTAGCTCGTTGATGAATGACTTTGTTGTCGCACTTGTTGTCAAGGCTGCATCAGATTGGAATATCCCTTTTCTTTTGAGCACAAGCTGGAAGTAGCTAAGATCAAATTTACTGGAACTGCCAGGATCCATTTCAACAATTGTGGTACTGTCATTGATTGACTTGCATTTCTTCATTTTAAGATTAGCTGCATATTCACTGTCTAGAGATGGATCTTGTTTGCCTCAAACTCCAGTAAAATTGTATAAACGTGATGAAAATGACAGGCAATGAGAGACTCCAATGGTATGTGCACCTGGTAGAAAATTGTTCATACCAGTAATGTATGAAAAGTTTTAATATAGCATAAGCAGAAATGAGTATGGATGTACTAATTTAAACTTACCAGACAATAGGACCAAGTCTTTTAGGTCAAGACCCTTGCTGGCAAAAGACGTCTGGAGACTTGAAAAGTTACTTGTTGGAGGAGGGATGCTTGCCAAGGCTTCCGAAGCGTCTGATATCCTTCCATCTCTTCTACCAGTAAGGGCCTCCCTGAATAAAAAAGGAGATAAAGATTAAGAGCATATTCCATTCAATTAAGCTCTTTAATGCATACAATAACTAGTTATCTCAGTTTTTTATTAACGGCCTCAACTATAACCTCAGCTCTATTTAAAGGTCTGAGTAGGATACGACTATAAGCAAATACAGTCTGCAAGTTGGTTCAAGCTTTGTGCTTACTGTTACCACAACGGAGTCTCTAGCAACCAAGGCAATAATATCAGCACATGACACAACTCCAGGGTATTCAGCTTCAACTGCTTTCTTCACACCATCGATGAATGAGAAGCCTCTCAGCGTTTGATTAGGAACAGCTACTTTTTCAGTCTGGTTTTTCGTGCTCGGAGTGAAATTCAGGAGTACAGAACCATCACAACCATGTACGAACCCAATCAAGTAAATCATTATTACTTCAAGAATGGCACTCTTCACATGAAATGAGGCATAAACTTACTCTGACAAAGCAATCGTGGAAATGCAGTCTGAGCAAGGCAGCTGCAAGAGACGGAGCATTTGGGATTTGCTTTTGCACATATTCTTGAATTATCTTCTCTGCTTACGGAACAGCTCTTTGCATAGAAGTTGAGCTGCAACTGACCATAGCTAGAACCCGCTATTCCTAGTAAAATACACCACTAGAAAATTACTCAAATCGCTGAATTTAGCCATTTATATTACTTACTTGCAACTTTTGAAAGACCTGTTTTTCTCGAGTTGCTACACATATCAACTCCAAACAGACCCAAAAGAATTTATAGGCACATTGCTTTAGCTAACTTTCATTAGTTTAAGAAAACAGATTTGTTAGAGTCTATCTCTTACATTCAATGAGGTTAATATGTCATGATCTTATTAGACACTTAAACAAATAAACACAAATTTGATAATTATCATTATTGTTACCTGCTCCTGGAGATTATAGCTACCTTCATAATGCTGCATCAAAGTTCAAGTTCTTTTGATGCACTGGCAAAAACTATTTGACCAGACACATGGCAAGTACAGACAGGACGGCAGTCAATATCGAGTCCATCAATGCCAGCTGGATGAAGTGCCCTCTCAGGAAGGACCATCCTAGACCAGTCTTTTTCTAACAACACCCAAACTCCGAAATACCTGGGATTCATGGGTAAATTTCACATATAGTCACATAACGTATCATTTCTAACACAAAATTACTGAACTATGAGTATACTAACAGAAAAATCACACAACCTGAAAATACTATCATTTTAGGGTGGATAACTCAATTTTTACTCTTTTTTCTTTAAATCTTAACTGAATAAAAATAAGGTTTTTGTTGTATATTCTTGTTAAATTGATGGAGGTAGCTAGAGGCCATTTGGTTATTGTTTTAGTTCTGTGTATTATTAAGAGATAGTATAAAATATTTGGTATTAGTATTTCAATGTGTGTATCAAAATATGTAGTATTAGTTCCAAGTCAAGAAATAGAAAAAAGGATGGAGCAATATGGATGTATTAAGGTGTAACAACTTCACCATAAACCACCAACCTCAAGAGTAATTGTATTTGCTTAGGTATTGTTTTTTTTCTTTTTTTCTTTTATGGGCAGAATATACCTACCCTGAGGCACGAAAAAATGTGTGACCAAGGGTGGTTTGATGATTGTATACTTTTTGTCTCAATGCCAAAGCACCAAAAGAGGACAATTCCGCTTTTCGATTGCTCAAACTAAGCGTTTTTAACTTACAGTTGATATAAATTACTATGGTTCGTCTGTCAATCAAATTTAACCAACTTTAACTTAAAATGAGGAGTAGAGTTCAATAATGACATTCTTTTTAGTGTTAAACCATATAAATTGTCACATAAATCAACAATTAAAATAACATCAAGTTTATATAAAAAAGAGATCTGCAAATTCTATTAGTTGTAGGTTAAATGTGCTTAGTCAAATCGTACCTCTGTTGAAACAAAATGTTTTCTACAAAGATCAGGCAAGGACTATACCAGTCTCTTGGTTCTTCCGTTGGGTATATATCATTACAAATTCATTGTGGATGGAGAAGTTAGATATATTCCAATAACTTCCATGTGTAGCAGATGAGACAGGCGTTGTCTTTAATCTTCTTGATGTTAATGTAAGTAAGACTATATTTCTTCTTTAATACATCTTTTTCTTAAAAAGAAATAACAGTAATATATTATTGCTTAAAAGCCTACAAAATGGTCCAAAAACTGATTATTTCTTCTTCTGATTCCTTTGCCTTCGCTGCTTCTTTCTCCTTCCCATCATCATTTTGTGCTCCAGCTCTACAATGATTCTTGCAAGCCATATTGGTTTTCCAGTTGAAATCATGAAATATAATATGGATAATCCAATACATAGTCCACTTCCATAGCCCATCAGAGCACCTTTCCAAAAATCACTCAGAAATTCAGAATTGCTTTCTTCATCATCTAGTCTAGACACGGTATCATTTGTATCTAATATCTGAGCATAGCCACAACTTTTTGAAACAGGTAATCCACGTAATCCATCATTGCCTTTATATGAATTGCTCATAAAGGTCTGAAGTTGAG